AAAAAAAAGAGATACCGTTCGGGTCCATTCCGCAATCCAGGCACTTCTTCAAACGGCAAGCGCGACAGAAACACCGAGCAGCTGAAAAAGTAATCAATTAAATATTCATACAACCAAAACCGATTGAAAATTAATGAGAAAGATGAATAAATAGTCACGTGTACCCTGGTCGATCACGCAGTGACCAGATTTTCTGCAAAAATATTTCCGAGATTCCGCAACTGAACGACGGAAGAATGCATTGCATGCTGCACACGAGAGTGCTCCAAAATGATAACCATTTGCCAATCCGCCACATATCTATAAACATCAACGCCCAAAAAATAGGTCCAAACACAGCTTTGAAATCATGACTTCACCTACTCTTTAAAAAAAACTTTTCTTTCAGGAAAAAAATATCACAAAAAAAGAAAAAAAGGACTAACAACACAAAGCTGTTTTCCTCCGCCGTTCATCTTCGTTGTCTTTCCATTATGAAAGTTGTCCAACACATTCTGAACAACACTTAACGAACCAGTCGACAAAGGTGACAACTGAAAGCCCTGCATAAAAAGCAAATCCACAGCCCAATTAGTTTGACAAAATAAAGCAGCGAAATACAGCGAAGAACCTTTAGCAACTTCTACTATTCCTCACGAAACTTTTGAAAAGAATCAAAGAAATAATTCAAGCTGGTAACATTGGCATGGAAGTTAAAAATGTACTTCAAACGTACACTGTTTTCTGGAAAAACTCGGTTGCACACAGACCCCATTTGTTTTGAACTATCATGTTCACCACCAACCCCAGAAAACCGAAAATCTCGGGTAGTGCGTGTCGGTGACTGAAATATACCCAGTAAAACCAGTAGGTAAAAAATCTAAGATGAAATGTCACAACGCCAATAAGTTTTAAAACTTAATGACCCTTAATAAAAAAGTGTCGTCTACGACGGAGTACTATAAAGTTTTGAGAAAGGAAATTTTACCGCATAAAGTACTTTCAGTATAGTTTATTTTCATGCCCTAGAAGAAATCAGTACTCCCCAAAAAGGAGAAAAACATGTTAAAAATAAGCTTCCCTAAAAGGAGAAAAAAACTAGAAGACGCAACTTCGTAACACGCAAAACCACTTTAACTGATGACGCACTCATGATTTACTTGGAAAATTTTTAGCGGAACTCTGAGGATCGCGAAATTTTCATAAGTAAACACAGCAGCAACGACTTTGCGTCCCTAATGCATACAAATACTGTATTTTTCACTGACATCCTTTAGTAAAACAAAAAACAACATGTCAATTTCCCAAATCATTAGAGCTAATAACAAATGCAACAAAACGTAGTACTACATTATCACTTATATAATCTAATCTTCAAAAATAAAACGGGAAAAACTCGGAAAGTCATAAAAGTTGCGTCGTTGCCAACGTCCTGAAAATATTTCTTTACCGATCTCAAAAAAAAAAATATCATTTATGATATCTAACTCTTACATCAAATTTATTTTTACTCGGGGAAATATCGCTATATTCACAATCTACGTTAAAGTTCGTCTAGAATCAAAGATAAGAACCATCAATTCACCACTAAAGCTGTTAGCAGTGCAGATACACTAGAAGCCGTCATTCTCCTCAAAGATTAAAAAAAAAGATGTATGAAGTATCAACAGATTTTCAGAATAGTAACCTTATCATCATCAACCACAACAGTCTGATCATCCATTCCCCTTTCAACTGGATTAGAATCCCACTCAGCGGCGATACCTCGTTCTGCTTCAGATTTACTAAAATTCGTCTTCTCGTTGTCCAGATATTGTGTTTCCTCCCAACCAGTGTTATTTCGTCGTGCCGGCAACGACCAGAAGAAACTTAAAAACTCCCACTTTACTAATATGTAAAAAAAAAGCTAATCACCTCCTTAAAATTGCAGGTCATGACAACAGAAAAAGGACTTGTAAGCTGGTGAAAAGTTTTAAAAAATGATATTTATTCAAAATACAGATTCCAGACTGCACCTTCCCTCGGTCCGACTACCACTTAATTTTAATCCTGCTCAATACTACCAGCCAAAACTGTTCATTACCGTTTCCCAAAGCACATTTTTTGATGGAAGCTAGATTTTCGAAGCGAGCCATTGTCAGTAAAAACACTCTCGAAACTAACACACAAACAGTTCACAGGTTTGTAAAAACAATTTTTCACTATGTTCGTCCATAGATCACAAAAAAAATGTATTCTAAAAGCTACAAAGTTTTGTAAATCAGAGACGAAGAAAAAAACGAAAGCTTTCAGAACAACACAGCTACACCAAATTATAGTACAAACTCCACCGACAGGCAACGCGTCGCGTGGCAAACCGGAGCTAATACAATCATCGTTCAGTAATGATTAAGGTTTAAAGAACCTGCCGGGAGCCAGAAAAAACCGCATCGCATCTCCCCACTTTGTTTTGCGTCTCCCAAAAGACAAAGGAGCGTTTTCGTATACGGACTGTGCAGATGTTTCTTACTTTATGCAAAGAACGAAAAAAACCACTTTTACGTTGCACACAGAAGTGCAACCAGTCAACATTCCCAAATGGTAGTTCTGCGAAGAAAAGAAACGAAAATTCGTTATGAATTTCGCTTAAAACCAACCAAGAAATTTCCTGTAGAGGCCTCTATAAGAAAGCACGTATATGACTGCAACGGAACCAATCAGCTCTGCACGTAACTCTTATTAAACAACAGACATGTCATTGATACTAGTTTTAAAAGCATCTAACGTTCTCTGGTGCAAAAAGAAGAGGAAAGAACCCTACCTGTGGCAATCAGTTATTTCCTACAGTAACAAACTGAACAGTCCATTTTTACTTGAAGTCCCAAGAATAGACTAAAAAAGTTAGTGAACAACAAATTCCCAAAATCTCCGCTTATGTGAGTACAATAGCACTTGATTTGAATGGTATTAATCACCTCTACTCCCCAATGACAGGATTTCACCAGGATTCTGTAGCGCTATATATTTGTAAAATTCTCAAATGATTCAGAAAGCTAAATGCAGTGGGTGATCTGGACAAAATAATCAAATAAAACTTTAATGAACTACTTCTCACCAGATAAATAATAACAGAGAGTTAATTGATAAACCTGAAATATTCCGATAGACTTGCATCACATCTCATTTCAATAGGGCGAGTGATTCGTTGACGACCCCGCCGACTACGCCGACTATCGTTCATTTTATCCAACAGTTTTACTCGACGTTAACCGGACGACATAAAAGCCTTAAATTTTTTTCTTTTAAATCACTTCAGGAACAGTTATTAATTTAACAAAAAAATTAAAACAACTAGTGTTTGAAGAATGAGAATAACGACAGGAAGAAATGAAGAAAAATGAATGTTTACAAGTTCCCTCCCACTCCTCCTCCCTTATCATCTGAAACTGGCCCAATAATTTTAGGCAACCAAATGCTGCAAACTGTTGAAGCAAATGAAGTAAGCCTAATGAAGATTGGGCATCTCAGCAGAGTAATTACCAATGAACACCCGCTCCAGATACAGCAGAAGCATGCACTGACCTCGTAGTGACCCTCCCTAGGCTGCTGCAGATTCGAAAAGCCCTTCAGGCATAAATAGTAATATTTAGGCTAATTACAGTGACCCAAACTGCAGTCAAGCGATCGTTTAAAGTATCGCTCGAGATTAGCCTATAACAGCGTTAATAATCGTCAGTACAGATAAGCGACAGTGCTAGAATCATCAAAGTCAGATTCTTGGAATCGACAAACCGATGTTGTTAATGCCATATTACTGGCTACACAATCCAAATCAAAATGCTGGAAAAATTTTTTTGTTTCCCAGTTTTTAACTTTATTAGCAGTATTCCTTTCGTCTTTGCTTTTCTATTTCTTCTAAAAATCATTTTGTTTCTTTGTTTTTTAGCATATTTAATGCTTTAAAACTTCTTCTATTTAATCTACTAAATGGAAGAAAATTGTGAAAAATAAATGAATAAGTACTGAAGTAATTATATGTTTTTGACAGGCTTTAATTTTTGTTTATATTTTCTAGAATTTGTAAGAATACAAATGTTTATTTTTTTTAAAATAGTTTTTCCAAATCGCTAAAGGTTTTTTTAGCTCTTTGGTGCGGAAAGCCTCTGACTGTTTCCATTATTCAATAGTTTATTTGAGATTAGTTGGAATTTTTAGTAACTCATTGTCTTTTTTTCTCTCGGATGATTTACGTGAAAATTGTAAGGCTCAAATCAGTTTTCTGATAAATTTATTCAGAATTAAAGTTTTATTCAAGATTCGTTTTTTTCACTAACTCTTCGGTTCATCTTTATTTAATTTTATCTATCTGGTTTCGTATTGCTCTGCTTTTTTTTCTTTTTGACTGCCATTAACTGTCGTCAACACGTTATCGTTAAGTATACACTGATATGATTTCTTCGCACCAGTAGAACTGTATAAATAAGGAGTGAAAAAAAAAGTTTGATGACCATTTTTTGATATCTGTGCGAGAAAAAAGCGAGACGAAACATATGATTGCAATTTATGAAAATGTTGTACAAAAATCTAGAAGCATTGGTACTGTTAGGGTGAATGGAAGCATTATCTTCAAGGAGTATTAAAATTTGCTTTTTGTTCAATGTGGCGAAGAAAAATTTTGGGACTAGCCGCTGTTGTCTACTTGAATTTGAAGGTTAATGTTTAAAAAGAATATGACAACAAATATGCACAAACTCTGATGCTGACTGATAAGTCGGTAGTAAAATTCTGTTATATTGGAGGGGAGGCAACAGAAAAAAATTATTGCCTCACCGAACAGATCTGCTAAGTCCCAAAATAATACTGAAAAGTTAGAGTGATAACCTACACAACTCCTAACGTTGGTTGCGAACAAAAGACAATTGGATGAAGTTGACCGAATATTTCGATTTATACTTCGGTATTATCTGGCAGAATCTCTTAAATTGAAACTGATAAAATTATTTGAAAAGAAAAATAGTTTCAAAAACTAATTTTTAAAACATTAAACAAAAGTTTTTCTTACTTTGATTGTATTCCATAGGTTTTTAGTCGGAAGTAAGGAACTGCTACAGAATACACTTCTACGGATTCATCACTGAGATGCTCGATAATCTATGATAATCTTTCTTTTTTCCTCTCTCTATTTTCAGCTGTAACTGGTGACCTGGTGACGTAATAAGTTTTGCGTTGTGAACTGTAAGTAATATTATAACGAGGAAGAAGAAGAAGGAAGAAAAGAAAATAGAAAACAGGAAAGTACATAAAAGGTTAGCTTTT